CCCTCCTTTCTTCCTCTCTCTTTCTTTTCTCTCTTTCTTTCTTTCCTCACTTTGCTGCCCAGGCTGAAGTGCAATGGTGTGATCTTGGCTCACCACAACCTCCACCTCCTGGATTCAAGTGATTCTCCTGCCTCAGCCTCCCGAGTAGGTGGGATTACAGGTGTGCATCACCACACCTGGCTAATTTTTGTATTTTTAGTAGAGATGGGGTTTCACCATATTGGCCAGGCTGGTCTCGAACTCCTGACCTCAGGTGATCTGCCCACCTCTGCCTCCCAAAGTGCTGGGATTACAGGCATGAGCCACCACGCCCAGCCAACATTTTCTTCATTTTGAGAGGAATCACGGTGAAATTAAGGGCCTAGACTTCGAAGTCAGACAGGCATTGGGTTGAAGTCCTTAATAGGATTTTAGTAGCGCCAAAACTGGAAATATTATTTAACTGTCTTAATAAATGTATACTCATCTGCAAATGCAGATGATTATACTTTACAGGGTGGTTGTAATAACTAAATTAAACAATATACCTAGGTTGAGAGATAGAGTCTGGCACCTTTTAGCTGATTTGTTAGCTGATTAGCTAAAGTCAATAAGGAGAGATGGATTGTTTAATAAATTATTTTGGATCCACATCGCAATCAGGAATTTTTTAAAAACGCTATGACAAAACGTCAAGATGTGTTAAAAATTTCAATATTGTTTTTAAAGTACTAGATGAAAAGAATTATCTAAAAATACAAGATCAAACAATTAAAAAGGAAAAGAACAATCTAACCACTTAACTATATAAAAATATGGTTTGATAAACATTGGATTATCAAAAGACAAATTATTCAGATTACCAGTAAGAGAGGAACTTATTCCCAACACATTTAAGGAACAAAATTTAATAAATTTAATTTGTAAATAGTTCTTTCAAATTTAGGAGAAAAAGAACAACTCCCAAATTAAAAATGAACAAAGTTCACATATAAAGCAATTTACAAGATAAAAAAAGATGAATTAATCATGTAAATATAAAATACTTCTTTTCTTCCTTTAGATCACTGAAATTTAAAACCATAGATAATATCAAAGAGTAGTGGAAAATATTACTATCACACAGTGTTTGCAACAAGGTTAACTGATTTAGTATTTTTGGAAGATGACAGAGAAATTAGTGAGAAAATTTTTATGTAGCCTCATTTACAGAGAAATTCTACATCTAAGGTTTTAGCCACAGGAAATAATTGTACAGTACAAAATGTTTCATAAACTAGATATACATCATGGCAGCAGTGATAATATAAAAATGGAAAATAATTTAAAATACAATTAATATGGTACTGGTTCAGAATACTTCTATAAATAGCTTTAAAACGGAATGAGGAAGGCCAGGCATGGTGGCTTACGCCTGTAATCCCAGCACTTTGGGAGGCCGAGGTGGGTGGACCAGCTGAGGTCAGGAGTTCGAGACCAGCCTAACCAACATGAAGAAACTAAAATACAAAATTATCCAGGTGTGGTGTTGCATGCCTGTAATCTCAGTTACTCAGGAGGCTGAGGCAGGAGAATCGCTTGAACCCGGGAGGCAAAGGTTGTGGTGGGCCAAGATCGTGCCATTGCACTCCAGCCTGGGCAACAAGAGTGAGACTCCATCTCAAAAAAAAAAAAAAAAAGAATAAGGAAGAGCTCTATCTATTGAATTTGAGATGCTTATACTAATGCTTATACTATATTAAGTATAAGACATAGATGACTGAATGGTATTTAAATAGAAATGGTATGATCCCATTTATATATGAAAATATATATTTCACTATCCTTATCTATATATATGAAAAATATATTCACCAAGAATTATATATAATGTAGTTTTAAAAATATTTTTATATATTTTTGATTGGTTTTATTTTGAACAATGAAAAAGGTACTATTATAATTGGAAAAATAAAAATATTTTTATTTTGAAAATCAATAATGAATTTAATTTCATGTTGAGTTTAACAGTATCTGTACAAATATTTTAAAGACTTGAGACTTGAGATATATAAGCTCAAATATAACTCGGATTCTGAAGGGCTGGTGTAATATTTATCTCTACACTGTTTATATTTCAGTATTAAAAATTTATGCTTAAATATTTTAAGAAACTTCAAATGCTTTTATAAATCTACTCTAAAACTTCTTCCACCTAACACTGCAATTTGGTTACTATCATAACCACATAAATGACAGAGGTCCAAAATATTCTAGCTTTTCATGTCCCAGAGTTTCCCTCAATCTCAATCTCTTCAAATCAGCTTTGAAATGTTTGACTTAAAAGAGTAAGATTGCTCTAGCCACTGTTAGCCTTTATAGATGAGTTAACCTTTTTTTATATTGTCATTACTGTTTTAAATCATGCTGAACTCCAAAAAACACCATTACAAATGAAGGACTGCCTTTTCATTACGTTCATAAGCCAACTCTTAGATTTAGATCAGAGTATTTCACGGTAACTGTGTGTAAATGTAAGTGGGCATGTAAGGGTGTGTATGCATGGATATGTTTACTAGGTGTGTGTATATGCATGTGTGTTGTATATGGAACTGCATACAGACATCCACTCTGTATATGCATATATGTTTAGGTGTTGTAGTGAACATATGTGTATGCTCATGTACATCTTGTGTGTGTATGATATACCAAGATGGAATATCCAAAAAGGAAACATTTACAGTGCATTTAAAATGAAGCAAGCATTTAGACATTCCCATTTACAAATAGTACTGGGGATCGTAAACATCAGCAGCATCTCTGAGGTCAAGTTTACAGGGTAATTATATTTCTGAAAATGGAGGCATATGGAATTTTTATGGATCCAGTGTGCTGTGAGTCTGAAGTCCAAATTTTGATAAATGAATTCCATGCAAAATATATTTATTCTAATATGTTAAAAATGAAAAATGATATGCTTGATACTATAGCACCATAAAACTATGTTTCTCCTAACTGCTTCATTTTTTTCCCCAAACTGCAAAGTCAATTCTTGTGCACAGAACAAAAAAAAATATGTCTATGGTCTGAAAAGTAGTTAACCTCAATCCAAGAAGCATAACATTGAAAGTTTAAACGCATTTTATATTTTAGTTATTATCATTATTATTATTATTCACTCCCTTTTGGTCATTTGAAATGTTCAGAAGTTTTAAAGAGGTGTAAAATAACATTATATAATTTACTGAAATATCCCTTTTTCTCATCTTGTTTCCCTACATTTATTTTTTGCATTTTCTTCTTCCCATTTGCTTTTCAAGTATAGAAAGATATATGAAATATGAATTTTTGTAGGATTTGTAAACTGATTAAGTGCATCAAAGAGGAAGAATGTTTTTTTCTGATTCTTTTATATATTTCTTTACATTATTTTGAATTCATAGTTAAATTTTTGAAAGATAGTGGTACTAATTTTTTTAAGGATGTCGAAGGAAACAAGAGTATAACCCTGATTTAGGGAAACATTCATCAATTGGTATTGAAGAAGATTCTATCTTATTGCCATGAATCATCTACTTTGGGGCATATACACACACATATTGTGATGTGGGATAAGCTTAAGAATTAGGGAAAAAGCAAAGCAAATTTTCTTTTAGAAATCAGTAATGTGTAAAACCAAGGAAATAACATAGGCCAAATGAAATAACGAATATCATTCAATATAACATGCATATTTTGATACACAATTAGATTTTATATTTCGTGATTCTATGTGGAACAGAAGAATGAGTAAGAACTTAAGTTCACTCTTAGCAGGAATCTCATATTGGGATAGATCTCCTTCATTTAGAAATATTTTTAAGGAATGAAAAGAGCTAAAATATAAGAGAATTAATCATAAATTATATTTTATGAAGATTAGTAGACTGAGCTGTCTTAAATTATTTCTGGAACAAGATGGGATCTTAATAAATCAATTAATTCACTGAAAACTCAATAAACAAATTATGTTGGCCTCTTAAGAGTTTATAACTTTTAAAAAAGTCTTCTATTTATTCACACACACACACACACACACACACACAAACTCAATCATTATTCATGTATACCCTTATGATTGTTTTAATGGAGAGATCAAAGAAGTAAGAAAATACTCTGAGAGCAGAATTTTCTAAGGTTCTGCCTTTTAGAACGGATTGATTTTGTGCCCACAACAAGAATATTCATTTGCAAACAGATCATTTGAGTTCGGAGTCTTTTTATTCAGTATTTACCATAATAAATCTGATGATTGTACTCATAATAGTGGCACTCATAGGATGTAAGAAAGAGTAGTATTCAGTAGAAAAACAGGGAAGAATTAAGTATAAATCATTGGAATATCAGTGCATTAGATAGGAATGGCATAGTCATGTGCCTACAAAAGCATTATTTGCTTCAGAGTAAATGAGAAATTATTAAATGAATCAATAAGTAGCAAAACAGATGAAAAAATGATAAATACATGTCTACATAAATGCATTAATAAAGTAAACTTTCTTTCTGAACAACAAAACATCTTGAACAATGTACTTCTTGAATAGTAGTTTTTACACATGTTAGAAAAATACAACTTCATTTTTCTTACCACCTCTAAATGGCAAAACTCTGTTATTCTGTTATGAAACTCACTGAAACCAAACAACAAACAGAGAATTCAATAGGGTGGATCTCCACACATTGACTGGATCCTTGAAATTACCTGGGATGCCAATGATTTAAATACCCAGGTTCCATTTAGACATACTGAATTCAAATCTCCACAGGAGCGTTCTTAAGATTAGGTAAGACATCTTGCAAATAAATATGCCATATGTTGTAGAAAGTCACTTATTCTGATTATTTTATATCATATTGGCAATTGTAATAACTACCTTCCTTTTTAAGGGTGGGGATAACAAAGCAACAATTCTGACCTGATGTTATTTTTAATTTTTTGGTCCAAAGAAGAATGGGAAAAAAATTAAGTTTCTATGTTTTAAATGTCTGAGTAATGTACTTACTACAGTTTTCAGCTTTTCTATTGTCCCGGATTACTATTCTTTGGTTGATTGTGCTGAAGAGTGTTGTCCAGTTAATGGTATGATAATAACACAAGTTGCTGTTGTCAGTAATATAGATGTTTCCTGCGCTGATTTCCTTCAGGGACTGGAACTGTAGAGAGGTGATGCCCTGTTGCTTGAGGATAAGCAAGGAGAGGCCACTAAGGAGGGGGAAGGGAGAAAAAGGAACCATGAGACACATTCTGGAGTAAAATAAGGCTGTCACATTTTATTTTCAAAAGAATGTTAAGGGAGTATAAATAGAGACTGAATCAGTAACTCTGTGTTTTGAATGATATTTGTTTTTACATGCTATATACAGTTTTTAAAGTAATAATTTGACCTCCCAAAGTAAAATTTCCATTGCTTACAGTTATGCATATTGGCAGTGTATCTCTATTTCTGTGTATATATTTACCACTGAAATATCTGCTATCTTCCCACCCCAAGCCCCCAAGCCTTAACTTTACATTGTTCAATGATGAAATCCTGTATTAACACTAAAGAAGTGTTTATAAAACAATCGTTCATCTACACAAAGTAAGACATTAATTCCTTTTTATGTAATAGATTTAGACATATAGACATACCTTCAGAGTATGTCTAAATAATTTCAGAAAATGATTATAGGTATTTAGCTTTACTTTAATACCTCAGACACCAGAACTGTAATAATTGAGGCATGCGTAAGTAAGGTTAGGAGACGGTAAAAAGTAAAGAATAAAACTAAACTAAAATTAGAAAAAGAAAACAAACTCAGATGCCTTGGGTATCTGGGGAAAAGGTCTCTAAAAGTTAAATAACAACTACCCTGTTTAGAATTGCTCACATCATGCACTCCATGCTTGGAAAATACTAATATTACTTTGAGTGACAGACGATTGAAAAATCAAGGAAACTACTTTTATTTTAATATAATCCACATTATTGTAATTATTTACTTTTTTACTTATTTTCTTTTTTTACTTATTTACTTTTCCATTCTCTAAAGCATAAACATGCTTCCCATATTTCAATCAGTTAATGAATATTATTTTACATTTTGGAGATCAATGCTTTCCACTTTTATTTTTAGTTTTAAATATTCTTTGCTGTTAATATTTAGATTTATTTTCCATGGTTGTCAGAATGTGTGTGTGTGTGTTTGTGTGTGTGTATGCTCAATGATAAAGACCAAGATGCAGCTCTTTCTCTCACATTTTGTCCCCAACATAACTATCTTGAGTTGTTGATTACAATGTTAGCACAATGTCTCGATTGGCTTATAATATTTATTCAATGGATAGTAAAAGTTGTTTACATATAGCACTTTAATAGATTGTATCTCTTGACTATCCTTTCTTATTAAGCTCCTTTTTCCTTTACATTTTTAAAACCTCTTATAAATATAACTTTTAAATTTTAATAGTGAAATTCAATGTACTTTTTATAAAACATTATTATAAAATCAATGATGATATTAATTTTGGAGATATTTTGAACTTAAGTAAACAAATTTTAAAAATTCTTATGTAAATTGACTTTTAATTGCTCATAAATAAGAACGTCATACAGATGACATTGAAGAAACCTGTTATTTACTCTTATAATGTGAATTTAAATTATTGACATTATAATTTTATCAATGTCCTTCTAAACCTAAATTTTCTTGTCCATTTATTAACCAGCAGAACATGTAGAATGGCGGACCTGTTCCTAAAACATCAGCCCTGTGATGTGTAGTTCAAATTATAGCACCAGAGACAAGAACAGAATCTCCTGGCACAACAGCATTTGTATCCTATACACCCGAGCCATTACCAAGTCACACAACTCTTATCTTTTAATTATGATAACATCTGATAAAAAAGAAAGTTTCATTAATTGTTCATATCTTGCACCCCATACTAGCAAAATACTAATATTACTTTGAGTGACAGACAATTGAAAAAATCAAACTATGTATTCTGTAATACTTCATACCATCATCGGAGGTATTTTCAATGAGCTTATCTTTGGAAATAAGGATGGAAGCATGATTTCCCCAGAATCAGTAAATCAATAAGAGTGATGGTTTTGACTTAATGCCCAGACGATTCTCCTCTTGAAATCTGTGAGACCTGCAACTTTAAACATATCCACTTACCTATAGAGTACTCTTCCACCAATGGTCACTAGGTTAGAAAAAACACTGAAATCAGTCATGTTTGGCGGCCATGACTGTATGTTCAGGAAACCTACAAGTGAAGAGTAGTAAAAATAAATCAGAATATCATTGTCTTAGTATTAGTGCTGATTTTTCTTGAAATATGGTGAAAACATGTTGAAACGTGGGAAGTGAGAAAGGGGTAGTGAACATTTCTATTTTTGAAGCACTCTATTACGTATGTATTCCTCCAAGATTGAGTCTCTTACCCAGTAAAACTGTATATGTTGAAAGGTTTCAATGACTCAATTTGATTTATTCTTATAAATGCAAGAATGTAGTCTAACTAGATAAAGAGAAAAATATAGTTTCAATTTCTCTGAAATCTTTTACCTCTTCATCTGTATACTTACGATATCAGTGTCACCCTTATATTCTAAGACATTTATATACATATCTAACCTTTCTCATTAGATTTTGCATTATTTTACGGTAAGTCCATGTCTGATTCATATCTATGGGCCCCATATTACCTACTAAGACAATGTTGAACACATTACAGGCTTAAAATATACGTGCTAAATAAATGCTACATGTTATCCATGTTCAAGAGTACTTCTTTTGAAGAAGTAAACAGAAAAACATGGGTTCAAAGATCAGTTGACACTTGCAAGAGTTGTAATGTCAGACTTTCAAAGATACTCATTTTGTAATTCCATGGGCTTTCAAAATTTGCATAAAAGCTAATACCATCTTTAAAAATAATACGAGTTTTTACAAACTAAAATCTGCTTTGAAAATTAGTTGCTGATTCCAATCTTATGTAACTTTTTCTGTTTTGTTTTCTTTTTTGTTGTTATTTTGTGATGGAGTCTCACTCTACTGCCAGGGTGGAGTGCAGCGGCGTGATCTTGGCTCACTGCAATCTCTACCTCCTGGCTTCAAGCAATTCTCCTGCCTCAGCCTCCTGAGTGGCTGGGATTACAGGCACACACCACCACACCCAGCTAATTTTTGTATTTTTAGTAGAGACAGGGTTTCACCATGTTGGCCAGGATGGTCTCAATCTCCTGATCTCGTGATCCACCCACCTTGACTTCTCAAAGTGCTGGGATTACAGGCGTGAGCCACTGTGCCCAGCCAATCTTATGGAATTTTTTTTTTAATTACGTTGTTCATAGCACAACAGTTGCAGTTTAAAAAATTACCTGTTATCTCTCTGACTGTCCGAAAGACATTCAGTTTCTCTGGGTCTATGGCTTCAATTGCATTGTAAGGGTCCCTAGAAAATCAAGAAGAAACGTAGCCAAATTTAAATTTTAATAAAGGAGTGAAAATATGAGAAATGTGACAGTAGTTATTTTATTCAAATTTAATTTTAATTAGCAATAGGGGCGTTATCAATGCATGTCTAAATTAATCTGTGCTAGATGTGGAGGAGGAATAATAGGTGTTTTGTGGACATTTTTGACGTCACAGAATACGAGATTTTCATCAAAGCCTATTCTAGATCTATAAGATTATTCAGATTGAACTATTCTGATGAAATTCTCAAAGATAGCAAGTTCATATATGAACCACTTTGCATTGCTTTGTTTTAAAAGTTTATTATTGATTTGGAAGAATATATATATTCTAGAAATAAATTATATTATACTGAGAACAACTGGTATTTCTGCTCCTCAAAGAAGTATACATTGCTAATAGTACCTGGAATTCATAAGAAGGATAGAAACAAGCACAGATAAAATCGACATTTTTTTCTTCTGTAGCTCTACATTTATCTACTCGTGAATTTTCATAATATTTATGACATTGTCCAAAAGTATCTCTTCATACAGATTACTTAGAACCATCTTGTTCCTATCTAGCTTATTCATATTCACGTTTATAACACAGGAACTATTCGCTTCCATGTATATGAATTCAAGCAAGACTTCCAGTTTTCTTTTTTATTTTTAAGAAATCCACAGTAAGTTTTAAAATTTTATTACATTAAAAGACATTTCGTGCTATCCTAGGTAGACACCTCATATTAACATATATCATTTACAGAGAGATCAAATTTTATCCATTGGCTGCTTCTTCAAGATGGGTCAAAACTTCTAAGAACAGTGATCTTAGGCTCTTTTAGAAGTATGTATCTACCTGTAGCAGTCAAACAAATTTTATTCTTACTGTAGATATCTCTTCTTTTACCGGTCTTTGAGAACATTCCTTTTCGGTATGGTGAATAACCACTAGTGATCCACTCTAAGTAGCCTTAATAGGGCTATCAATCAACATGCTCCATAATCGCCTGACAAACAGATAGGCATATGGCTTATGTCCTGGGGATTTGTGTCTGAATCCATTGGCATTTATTCATGCCAGCATTCAAGTCTTGAAAACAGTATCAGTTCCAGCAACTTGATCTCTGGAACCACCTTGTACTGGCTTTCTGAACTTGGTTCATCAGCATATTCTTCTCTACTGCAAACCATTCCACATCTTTAAAAAAAATTTGCTTGATTAAATCACTGTTTCAAACTAAGAAGTGCAATCAATACAATGTACTGCTAGTTTAACATGGGGTACTTTATACTAGGCTCAAATACTGGATATTGCTGAGGTTGGAGAAACACTAAAAATGTGTTTCCCTATAATTCACACATAAACTATTGATTAAAATTTTCTCAATGTCATATTAATATCTCACAAAAGCTTAGTCTCAATTAAACGTTCTAGCAAACTTTCTCTATTTACAAGCAAAGATATATGGAACAAATAACTATGCTTTTGATGAATATGAAGCCAAATATGAAGTGTATCATGTAGGAAAACTCTTGCCTTCACTTTTTAATGTGCAAAGAATTTTGTATACAGAGGAAATATCAGCTCTGCAGTACAAGAATGAGCTTTCAACATTTGTTCTTTGATGAAAAGCAGTGTATAGAACAGCTCAGGTCATATAATCAAATATTCTGGCTTTATTGAGAAGGACTCAAAATTCAGGGCAAGCACACAATAACGGGGTCAGTCCAAACCTTTACTGAGAACACTTCTATGTTACCGGGAATGAAATGAATTCCGGAATGTTAACATGAAGCCCAATGGACCACAGATATTTTATACAGTTAATTTTAGAGATTCAGGACTCTTGTAAAATAAGTTGACAGAATTCCACTCACTGACTTCAAAGTATGTCTTGGGAGTTGCATCCTGTAGCCACTCGAAATACATAGTACTTTAAAACAATTAACTTTCCTAACTAAATTCAGAGCCATGCAAAAGAACGTTATGTCTATCCTGTCATTGTGTTTGGTGATCCAAAATAAAGCTCAGGAGAAAGACAGAGAAACATATTTTCATTTCCACTGAAATCACTTTGTTTTATCATCAAGCTTATTATTTCTTTTCCATTGTCTATCACCACTGCAGTCTACCATGTAAACCCTTTCTTGCCAGTGTCTCATTGTGACACAGCATGAACATGCTTATTTGGTGAGTATTTTGTTACTCTAAGCACATGCCCATCAACAGTGTAAAACATAACAAAACATGAAGGAAAAGTTTTCCTAATGATAACCCTAAGCACTACACTTTCCTGCAGTTCCTATTCTAAATAAGAAAATGAGTACCTACTACTATTTCTGGCAATGGTACTATTGTACTGTAAACTAAACTTGCCAATTAACTTTCTTGAGCCCAATTATATATTAAAATTTTAATTGATAAATTGCCAGTAAATATCTTTTATGGAGCAACTTATTTTTAAAAAGCATAACAACCTCATTAAATTGTTAGTTTTGCATTTTATTAGTTAAAAACATCTCAGCTATTTTAATTAAACCATACGATCTTATTAAGAGCTAGTTAGTAAAATACTGCGGGTAATGGAAATTAAGTGAGGTAAAACATTTCTTTAATTGATTGCAAGTTTTCTGCTTATAATACTCTGTATTGTTCACCTTTAAAATATCTCTGTGCTTACACACACAAACATACACACACACAAATTACATTCATGACCATACTTGTATCTACACATATATAACATGTCTAAGTCTACTGAATTAACTCTATAGCCATACTTCCCTCAGATGAAAGAGAAAGGCTTCAGAATATATGTTTCATGCTGGCATGACAGTGAGAATAAAGAATACATCATAATTCATTTATATGTTTGTCCTGGAAAATACCTTATAAATTATGCTTGAGACCCAATTATAATTATAATTTTAAATATTCCAGGTATAAGTGCTATCATCAAGGACAAATAATCATCTAAACTAAGAACCATGACTCATCATAAGGAAAATTTTGCCTTTATTTGGTTTCCAAAAGTCTATATAAGACTATAATCAAGTCTATAAAATTAATATTTGTTGCACAACATGCTGTGCTATAAACGAGACATAGGCACTGCGATTTTTCTTTTGCACTGTCTTCTTCTCCTCTTGTTTTGTTTTTTATCAATTTTCATTTCTCTGCACTGTCTTCTTCTGCTCTTGTTTTGTTTTTTATTGATTTTCATTTCTCTCTGTTCTCATCCTTCTCTCTCTCTCTCTCACTATCTTTCCCTCTTTCCCCACACTTCCAACCTTCTATTTGATACCATTTGTTAAGGTTTTACAATATGCCAGGCACTGCGCTGAGCAATTCAAAACAACTTTTGTTTTTAATCACCACAATAATCATACGAAATAGGTATTTATTATTAATCCATTTCTCAAGTTTTTTATTGGAGGAAACCTAGTGTTTGATGTGAGAGAAAGCCACCCAACTCAACGCAAACCCTCCATGGTGGAGATACAAATCACATTCCAATCTGCTCTGGATCCAATTGTCCAAGAAGAAATTCCAACTCTCATTTTCTAAGTTTATGCTTGAGACAAACTTGGTTTACTTCTCTACTTCTAATCCATGTAAGTTGATTTTCCATAAGTAATTTTTCACCTGGATGAATGAGCAATATTTTTCTCCTTAGAAGTCAGGGTTAGTCTAACGTAGTATTCTTCCAATAAACTTGGAAATGCACGCTCCTTATTGCCTGATGCATTTTTATTCATTGGACTACCTGTTTCCATTTTTTATTACATTTATTTATTAAACATTCCTCCACTCTGGGCCAGAGGTGAATATATATATATGGCTACATATTATATATGTATATATAGTCATTTTATAACTAGTAGAGATCTAGAGTTTTAATAATTATGTTCTATGATGAACCAAGACTAAAATAATCTGAACCTCACTAAATAAAATATTTTTGAAACCTTCCTACCCATGTTTTATCTTTAAGAATTTTAGCCTTAGCAGGTCACTTTTGGTGGTCTGCAATCTTTCTACTGTCACAGAATTCTTGCAGTATTTCTCACTGGGGGCAGCATTACCCCACTAACAGGAAGTTGGCACATCTGTAGAGCTGCTTCAGTTGTAACAGAGACTGGTGGATCCTGTAGTTTACAGGGGTTATCACAAGGTTGTTAATTGTCTCTTAAATCAAAGGATTGCATCATGTTTTATACAACCTTAAAATGTCCTACTAGACATTTAGGACCTCATATGTGCAAACTTCATGCTTGGTTATACTCTGGCCAGGTATAATTCCCTAGTCGTGTTGCTCCAGTTTCACTTGATCTTAGCCAAAAAGTCGAGAAGCAATTTACTCCAATTTCAATGAGAGTCATTTCCCTCTTTCTTTTGTCATATAACAATGTGTCTGGCTAGTGGTTTTCTCTTCCAGTGGTCAGTTGTTCCTCTGCTTTTTATTTTCTGGTACTTCTTACACAAAAATGTCTTCTAATCTCATTTTTCATAAATTCAAACTTTTATATAATTGGAAACTGGGCATTCCCCTAACAATACTTATTTTATTGTACCTTACTTTTTTTCTATTTTTTTAAAATGACAACTAAAGAATTATAATAATTAAATATATATATATATATTTAGGTTACATTATCCATAAATTTTATTTCAGAATTGAAAAGTGGCAATTTTTTAATATATAAAAGCGGAATGTTGGGCCCAATAAGGATAAAAACCACTTGTCTAATGCAGTTCATGTGAATATGATTTCAAATCATTCCTCACAGTGAAAGGCTTGAGGCTAATTCATTTATTATTTCCAGGTAAAAGCAGGCAATGTGAGTCAAAGTGGCTCTATCTTCTTATTTCTCAGATGACATTATCAGCATAATGTAATCTTACATTCATGTGATATTTGGTTTTAAACATAGTCAAATTGTGGGTATATTGCTTTATTAAATGTCATAAATGCATTAAATTATGAAGAAGCACCTAAATATTGTACCAGGTCTCCTACGCAATGGGGCAAGGAGGGTAAGACAGCAATGTAAATGGATTCAGAAGGCCAGTGCGGACTATGGTAAAGTTGATTAAGTGTGTCCCATCTCAAAATGACTAGTGCTACTGATATGCTTTGCCTGTGTCCTCATCAAAATATCACATTGAATTGTAGCTCCTACAATTCCCACATGTTGTGGGAGGGACCCAGTGGGATGTAACTGAATCATGGGGGTGGGTCTTTCCCATGCTGTTCTCATGACAGTGAATAAGTCTCATGAGATCTGATGGTTTTCTACAGGGGAGCTCCCCTACGCAAACTGTCTCTTGCCTGCCACCATGTATGACATGCATTTCTCCTCCTTTGCCTTCCATCATGATTGTGAGGCCTCCCCAGCCATGTGGGACTGTGAGTCCACCGAACCTCTTTTTTCTTTGTAAATTACCCAGTCTCGGGTGTGTCTTTATTAACAGCGTGATAACTGATTAATATGGCTACCCAGTTCCAACAAATTGTTGCCATGTAGGAATATGGGCTGAGAATTACCAAGTCTATACATTTTAAAATGTAAGTAAAAAAACAAAAAAACAAAAAAACAAAAAACATTTCTTAAGACAGATACAACAATTATGGGGTGGCAGCTACACACATACTATTATGCTATCTAACATGGGACCGTATTAAAAGCTACCTATTAAAATAAACAAATATTTAACAATAATGCAAATAATTGATTTGAATGAAAAGAAACACTTTGTTCTATTGTTCTTGCCATTCCCATTTGGACATATTTATTCATATTATGTTAAATTAGTTTGCTTTTAGAAATGATCTGATATATGTTCAGAGTAAGATTTTGAATTGAAACGTATGAGAGATATACTTTATCTGTAGCCTGCAGCGCTAATATTTAGGGATTAAGTAGTAATATAGACAAACAGATAACATACAATGTTAACATACTGGCATTCAAAGAATGCAAACACGTTTGTTTTCCAGTTAAAACCAGCAGGGGATTCTGTAATGAAGGAGCCCAGATAAATCACGTTACAATTTTTATTACCAAAATGAAACTCATTTAGCAGCATCTCTCACAGTGGTGCTAACTTCCCAACTTAAGGGAAAAAAGACAAAAATAATACATCAGGACAAAGAATTTCTGGAAGAAGCTCAGGGGAATTTCAACTTACTGATTAGTTTTAATGTGAGACATTTTAAAGGATATTAATTCATGTTTTCTCACGAATCAGTTAGAAGTTTGAATGAATTTTCCTCTAAACATATCTAAAAATAAGTCAAGCTTGCTGAAAACTGTGGATTTGAAGAGAATATCCTAAAACATAATTTAGTTTAAATACAAATTTATAATTTCAACCTTAAATAGTCACCAAACTAAAATTTGAGCACATTCCAAAACTGGTATTTTGGAATGTCATTATACTTTCATTATACTATAATGTCATTATACTATATTATACTGCCATTACTGTTGAAATCAGGCCCTTGCTTTTGTTTTGAGGAGCATTAATGAAAGGTGAAACTCTTCAGGTTCCAGAAGAATCAAATAAACAAAGCTAAAGAATCTCTTCAGTTTCCTCTACACTTTGTAAAATAGCTTGCACAAAAATGTAATACTGACCCGTGAATACCAGTGACTAGAAAGATCAAATTCCCATTGATCTTGGTACAGTTTATGAATTTGTCAATGTTACTGGAATCCACAGTCTGAGCTGACATCAATGATCCTGTGCCAATGCCATCACAAGCTGTAGAAACAAGACTCAGAGTTAGGGGACTGAGAAACTTATTTTTGGCCAATAAATCATTGCATCTTCATTGTAAAATAGCAGAGTATTTTTAATTGCAACATATAAAAATATATTACAAATTTTGTTTTCTAAAAAGTAAAATAATTATTCATTCATTCAACATTCACTACTGGTTCTTCTTTAAAAACTTGTCCCTGCATTAAAATCGAATGACCATGACTCATCATAGAAATTACATTTTATATCAAGACCCAGTATACACACACAACACATACATAAGTTTAACAGAAATTTTATCAATCAATACTCCTCCTAGCAACATAAAATTATCTATTTTCTACTTTATTTGAAAATATCATTTTTAATGATTTTGAAATGCTGGTAACTTTAGTAAAATAATTTCATGGCTTACATACTAATGCTCTACAACCTGCAATTTTAAAAACAGTGGTCTAATGGAGAATATATGTAAATAAAGAGTCTAATGATGTGAATTATAACCAAAATCAAGGGCCATTCAAATATTTATGCTTAAATTGAACATGCTTTCTGAAGCTTCTAATTTAAACAAACAAACAAAACAACTTTTGTAGGGGGGGGGCGTGGGGTGGTGTATAGAGAAATAGAGAGAGAGGATAAGGAAAAAACAGAGAGAAAGAGAGAAAAGACCATCTAAAGTAAGTCTGGAGTTTGTCCTTTTCTAAGGCACTCCCTGATACCTTGAAAACTTTAACAACATTCCTGAGATTTAGACTATATTTTCATCTGGCTTAATTTAGGTTTCATTCTGGTGAGGATTTAGACTACACACAGCTGGAAGAGATTCCTTCCTCCACTAGAATTCTATGGCATGAATTATCTGATATATTTATTTTAAACTTATGTTAAAGTTCCCTGTCATTTCATAGATCTCATCTTTCCAAATATATTTTTAAGATCTGGAGAGTAACTTTCAGGTCCCTATGCATCACTTTTTATGCTTAGCAGATAAATTTGTATACAGTGCCAAGCAACTAATATGTGTTGTGATGCCAACATAACCATGTGAACTCTTGTTTTTTAACAAAGCTTTTAAGATTTCCTATTGACAGAATAACATGTAACTGAGTTCCTATCAGTGTTACGCCTGAATTTTTTTCTGGACCATTTTAGTAGATATAATTCAAACTCAATAATATACAGTGTTAAAAGTTCATATTTTGAGTGACTGTCCAAAATTATGGAAAGTATGTGTGGGCAGGTTTTGGTTGTGAGAGTGGGTTTATATTAAAAAGTTGGTACACTTAAAATTGAATTAAACACCTTGTTATATAGGCCCAGTTCTAACTAAATAATCTGAGCTACCACTCACCTTTTGGGCAAATGTCAGTGCAAGGTTTACACATTTTAATCCCATTTTCTTCTACTTCCATCTTGGAACTAGGGCAGGCACGCACACAAGAACTGGAATCTACCACAAAGTTATCTGTTTTTTTGTTTTGTTTTGTTTAAAAAAAAAAAAAAAAGGTAAAATAAGCATTAATGTTAACATTCAGCAAACAAGTTCAAAACAAGATATTTTATGGTTTGGAAATGATTAGCTTTATTGATAGTGTTTATGCATCTTCCCCTTAAACAACTCTTTGTTTAAATATCTCAACCTGAAATCGTATTTCCAGTCAAATGCAATGTGTGTTAACAGCAACTAGTACTTGCTTGGTTACTGCTCCACATCCTGAATTGCCCCCAAGATAGACTAGATTTCTTTTATATGCTTACGAAACTACATGACATTTAGCTTGCGTGTTTCAATAGTTCCACTTCATTTCATGACATGATGCAACTTTAAAGACTAAAAATACTTCAAGTTCATGAAGCACAAATGAAGCTTAAGTTGAACTGCCTTGGATTAAGAGAGTACACTTCACATCAAGGAGAAAATGCTTAAAATGTGTTCTATTTTTCAATGGCGTGCCACAAAAACTTTCTCATATTTTCACATGAAGAAAAAATAAAATTGGAAAGGGTAGCACTTTGGAAAAGGTACATCAAATAGACAAGGAGCATTTTGTTACTCAATACTTGGATTAAATGTCTAGGAGTCCAGTGACCTGGGATATGCCAGAACATCCCCTCCAAAATAAAGGACAAATTGTTGCATCTAAAGGCTCTCACAATAAATGGAAACACAATCAATACCTGCTAGGCCACTCTGGTTTTAAAAGTAGCATCCTTCCATGCCTGGGAATATTGCTCTGGCACAATACGCAATGTTGTGGAATGCTTACAGCGTTGAGGGGTGCGCAAAGCAGAAAAGGCATATGATGTAGATCTAGGCTGTGGTACAAGCAGTTTTGCTACTTGGGCCATAAAACACAAGAGGCTCAATATTGGAAGCATCTACAGTGGGAAAATATGCCATGTAGTTTTATGGCAAATTTCATCAGAAAATCACAGCAGAGACTTCTAGGTTTTTAGAGCTAAGCTATGCCACCTGTAGCATAGGATAGTACACCATTTAATAAACAGCTTTTGACGTGCTTCTGGGTCCTGGTAGAGGTGGGTCTTGGGTCAGACCTTGTAGCCAGAATTGCCTATTATGAATAGGGTTTTGCTATAATGTTACAATGTCATCATATTGGGCAGGTCCAATAGCAATCCATTGTAAAATTAAAGTAGGATATAAGCAGGGGCAGAAGCACAAGTAAACTGCATAAGCAAATGGTTAAGACCTCCCAACGCCATCCACCACTGAGCTGGTCCCTCTCAGTCAGGTCATACCTATGGTTTGTGGGGGCTGAGAGAAGGCACTTAAGAAAAACTAACAGAGTAAGACACGAACTAGACTAGGTATGTGGATACTAGCTGAAAATGGATGGCAGCTTCTCTGTCTGCGGTCTCACCTATGAGTGGACTTGAAACACAGAGACAAGAGAAAATCTTACCAACAGGCATAATTTTAGGTAGCAAAACTGATTACTCATTTTGTATGAAAAGAGAAGTTGCTTGACCTTAGAATATATATGAACTCATGAGCTTATCCTGAGAGAAGAAATACTGGAAAACTTGAGAAGAAAGAGAATCTGGGGCAAAGGGATATGTGAGAATCCATGGGAGTGGGTACAAAGTATGGAAAAATTTGTATTCCAAGTCAACATCCACATGAAAGCCTCCACCACAACAAAGAGGCACTTCATTGGCATGATATCAAAGTCCGATCCTGCTTTCTTCCCTTCTCCAAAAAGTGTTGATTTTGAGACTGCTCCTTATCATAACCTAATTTCTATCTCAGGGGAACCCAACCTGCAACAGGTGCATACACGATATTAAATAGCCATTCTTTGTTCCAGGTCTGGTGATATGGTTTGGATCTGTGTCCCCAGCCAAATCTCATGTAAAATTATAACCCCAGTATTGGAGGTGGGACCTGGAGGGAGGTGAGTGAATCATGGGGGCAGCTTCTCATGGTTTAA